GGAGTGTGGAAAGACCTTTGCTTGGAGCAGTAGTCTTAGAAGCCACACAAAGATCCACTCAGGGGAGAAACCGTATAAATGCATGGAGTGTGGAAAGACATTTACTCGTGGCAATGATCTTAAAAAGCACAAAAAAATCCACACAGGGGAGAAGCCGTATAAATGCATGGAGTGTGCAAAGACGTTTACTCATGGTAGTGGACTTAGAAGCCACAAAAAGATCCACTCAGGAGAGAAACCATTTAAATGCATGGAGTGTGGAAAGTCCTTTGCTCATAGACATAAACTTACTGCCCATAAGATGATCCACACAGGGGAGAAACCATTTAAATGCATGGAGTGTGGAAAGACGTTTGCTCAAAGATGTCAACTTATTTCCCATAAGATGATCCACACTGGGGACAAGCCATATAAATGCATGAAGTGTGGAAAATCCTTTGCTCATAGATATAAATTTACTTCCCATAAGATGATCCACACAGGGAAGAAACCATATAAATGCATGGAGTGTGGAAAGACGTTTACTGATGGTAGTGGACTTAGAAGCCACAAAAAGATCCACACAGGGGAGAAGCCGTATAAATGCATGGAGTGTGGAAAGACGTTTACTCATGGTAGTGGACTTAGAAGCCACAAGAAGATCCACACAGGGGAGAAGCCATATAAATGCATGGAGTGTGGAAAGACGTTTACTCATGGTAGTGGACTTAGAAGCCACAAGAAGATCCACACAGGAGAGAAACCATTTAAATGCATGGAGTGTGGAAAGTCCTTTGCTCATAGACATAATCTAACTGCCCATAAGATGATCCACACAGGGGAGAAACCATTTAAATGCATGGAGTGTGGAAAGACCTTTGCTCAAAGAGCTCATCTTATTTCCCATAAGATGATCCATACAGGGGAGAAACCGTATAAATGCATGGAATGTGGAAAGACTTTTGCTCAAAGATGTCATCTTATTTCCCATAAGATGATCCACACAGGGGAAAAACCGTATAAATGCATGGAGTGTGGAAAGACCTTTGCTCAAAAACGTTGTCTTATTTCCCATAAGATGATCCACACTGGGGACAAGCCGTATAAATGCATGGAGTGTGGAAAGTCCTTTGCTCATAGACCTAAACTTACTGCCCATAAGATGATCCACACAGGGGAGAAACCATTTAAATG